GCATATTAATTTGCACAATTGATGAAAAATTTGTAACATTTTGTTTTAAAAGATACAAGTGTATTACTCATTTTTATTTCATTTGGTAAACTGTTCCATATTTGAGAATCTGAATATGTAAATGTTTTCTGTTGTTAGGTTGATGCCCCTGAATTAGTAATTTTAAGGACATTTTGTTGTATTTTGGTTATTATTTTGAATATAATTATAGATAGATATAATTTGTAAACAGCAATAATGTTCAGCAAAGTAAGATCTACAAAAAGGTCAACAAGACCCAAATGGTCAATTGACCCCATAAGGAGTTATTGCCCTTTAAAGTCAAATTTTACAATTTTTCGTAATTTTTTGTAATCTTTTACAAAAGTCTTCTCCTGAAAAAAATGAGACAAATTTAACCAAACTTGGCCACAAAGGAATTTCTTTACCATAAATTACTTAAAACCTTTACTAAATTTTTCCATAGATATAAAGATTTGGTTTTGAAGTTTGGTTGTACCTGTAGAAAACTTATTTCAAACGGGATAGCACATCCTCATTTTTACGAAAATGTTGTTAGCCGTGCCCCGGAAATTAAGAAACGATCCTGGTAAACTTATCGATCCTTTAAATAAACTTATTCTAAAAGGTTACCAATTCAACACTGTAATAAGATCATTGAATATTGATTTTATTGGTATAAATATTGATTTTGTTATCAGTTATCAATAAATTAAAAGCAAACTAAATATTATTAGTATGTTATATACATATACACATTCATGGATCTACAATCTGTCGATACCTGTATTTTGGCATTGCACAAGGTCATGTTTTTCTCTGACTGTTTATGACGTCTTTACACTAAATCCATTGGATGTTGGATGTGTACGGATTGATAAATTAGTCTTAGATGCATGATGTTTTCATTATTTGTTAGTGGCTTTGAATTAGCTGTGAGTTAATTGCGAGTACTCTCAGATCTGTCCCTAGTGTCTTTTTGTTGTTTGGATGTACAAGTACCCGGCCACGTCCACTTTATTTTTGTCCATCTGGTGAGTTAAGCCTTTTTCAACTGATTTTTATAGTTCGTTCTTATGCTGTACTGTTTTACCACTGTCCCAGGTTAGGGGAGGGTTGGGATCTCGCTAACACGTTTAACCACGCCACATTATGTATGTATGTGCCTGTCCCAAGTCAGGAGCCTTTAATTCAGTGGTTGTCGTTTGTTTATGTGTTACACATTTGTTTTTTCGTACATTTATTGTACATAAATAAGGCCATTAGTTTTCTCGTTTAAATTGTTTTACATTGTCATTTCGGGGCCTTTTATAGCTGACTATGCGGTATGGGCTTTGCTCATTGTTGAAGGCCGTACGGTGACCTATAGTTGTTAATAACTGTGTCATTTTGGTCTCTTGTGGAGAGTTGTCTCATTAATTGGCAATCATACCACATCTTCTTTTTTTATATTAGGGTATTGTCTCATTGATACTCATACCACATCTTCCTATATCTATTTAGTTTTTAAAAAGGTGTCCGATGATCCTGCTTGCAAACCAACATGGCAGACATGGCTAAAAATAGAACATAGGGGGAAAATGCAGTTTTTGACTTGTATGGCTGAAACTAGAGCAAAAGTATAACGGTTGCATTGTTTCATGCATCAATTGTAAATAAAAATATCATGTGAGCGACACAGGCTCCTTGGAGCCTCTAGTTTTTTAACTCCAAACCCCCGTCCTGCCTATTTTTAACAAATTTCATCCTGATGTCCTGTCCCGCTAGAGCTTGTTGTTGGTTTTTGTATGTATTTACTCTTGTCTATGGCTACAAGGCACAGCCCGCACAGGCACTTGTCTCAGATCCCCCCCCCTCCCCCTATGATATAACACAGTGTTATATAAAGGTATATAGGAAAACATTTCTGAGACAAGTGTGTGTGCTACAAGGTCTTTTGTTATTTTGTAAAACATGATGAGTCTAGCTTCTTTTCTTCTTGTTTGCAGGATTTTCCATCCAAATTTCGTAATCACTGTGGATTCATTAATATTCGTTGGATACCAATTTTTGTGGATTTCGTTGGCAAAGAGGAAACACGAATTTAAATGTTCAACGAATTATAAATTTTCTAAAGGAATGTATGCAGACTTTGGCAAAACCACGAAATCTAATATCCATGAAAATACAAGTTTATCTCAATCCACGAAAATTGGTACCCACGAAAATAAATGAATTCACAGCATATTGCTGTCACTTGATCTGTTTCTATGTCTGCTGGTTACAAATCGTGCAGCTCGTCTTTGTACTTTTTTCAATTTTATCAATGTTGTTTTGCTGGTACGGGTTCCATACTGTCGTGGCGTATTCAATTTGTGGTCTTACTTATATTTTATAAGGCATGCTCTTAAACTAATGTGGAGGTTTCGAAGGAAACCCAGGTTTCGGCTGGCTTTTCCTGTGATGTTGTTAATATGCTCTCCCCATCTAGATAATTTGCAATGGTGCAGCCTAGGTATTTTGTAGATGTTTCATGCTCCAGAGCATGTCCGTGAGTTAGAAGTACCACTTGATTGGATTTTTTTTTATCGTTACTGTGAGGACGCTGCATTTTTCAGGGTGGAACTCCATGTTCCAAACATTTTCCCATTTCCCCAGTTTGTCCAGGACTTCTTGAAGTTGGTGGCAGTCATTGTCTGAGGAAGTGGTCAAATAGACAACAGCATCATCCGCAAACAGTCTTACTGTTGAGTATAGACCTTCAGGTAGGTTGTTTACCTAAAAACAAAGGGAGTAGGTCCTAGGACTGATCCGTGGATACTCCGGATTCTACTTTCATTCTGTTTCGCTTAAAAAGTTTCCAATAAAAATGGACACTGGGGTGTATCATGATGTTCAAATATCCACCAATATCATTTGTATTGTTTGAATGCAAGAGACAGCATCAAAGAAATAAACATTGGAATGCAAGTATTCGCCGCATGCTGACGTAATTTAATTAAAAAATAAAAATGCTTATGTAACCACCTTTAGTACACCTGGCATACTAAATTCCGTGTAAGATAAATATTTGCTGACGTCATAAAACGCTATTACTTTCCATTCAGACGTTTTAAGAGCTATTTTTAATATTAAAAAATGATTTTCTAATATTAAAAAATGATTTTCTAATATTAAATTAATATTAAAAAATGATTTTCTAATATTAGGAAATGATTTTCTAATATTAGAAAATGTATTTCTAATATAAGAAAATGTATTTCTAATATTAGAAAATGTATTTCTAATATTAGAAAATGTATTTCTAATATTAGAAAATGATTTTTTAATATTAGAAAATGATTTTCTAATATTAGAAAATGATTTTCTTATATTAGAAAATGATTTTCTTATATTAGAAAATGATTTTTTAATATTAAAAAATAGCTCTTTTTGTCCACTTTAGCTATTTTTTAATATTAAAAAATCATGGTTACATAAGCATTTATATTTTTTAATTAAATTACGTCAGCATGCGGCGAATACTTGCATTCCAATGTTTATTTCTTTCATGCTGTCTCCACGGGCATACAAACAATACAAATGATATTGGTGGATATTTGAACATCATGATACAACCCAATGTCCATTTTTATTGGAAACTTTTTTTTTGTGTTTCTTTGCTACATATATGACGTGGCTCTGTATTTATACATCGCGTCATTGTGTTATTGTACTATGGTAAATTTGTGTATTCTTGTTTTTAATTTTTGCTAATATGCTTGGTCTGTATGTCATTTTGTGCTTCTTTGTTACATATTTGTTGGGATTTTTAGTGATTAAGATTATAACACTATGTTGACCAAGTCAGGAATACGACAGTTGTTATCCATTCGTTTGATGTGTTTGAGCTTTTGATTTTGCCATTTGATTAGGGACTTTCCGTTTTAAATTTTCCTCGGATGTCTGTATTTTTTCAGATTTTACTTTTTTTCGTCTGCGTAAGACTCATCAGTAGCGCTAAAATCTAAACTGTTGGAAGGCCACAGTAAATACGAAGTTCAAGAGCATTCAAAATCGAAACATGTATCTGAGATCCGGTTGAAAAAATAAGTTAATGAAATTAACACGTGATACCTATTGTGAGTCTGAAGCGATTTCCTGCACCAGGAACGCTCAAAATTACAAACTTGTCTTGTCCATTAAAGACATTGATATTAACAATAAGCAAAAAAGATAAAGTCAAAATACCACATAGCAATCTTTTTGTTCAATCCGAAAAAAAAGTGTAAATAAAGCCTAAAACAGATAAAGAAACAACATTTTAAATGAGTGCTCAGAATTGCCTTTACTTTTACCTCCAATAAACTCATCATAGATACCAGGATTGAAATTTTGTATTTACGCCAGACGTGCGTTTCGTCTTCAAAAGACCCATCAGTGACGCCAGAAATCAAAATAAGTTTAAAAGGCCAAATAAAGTACGAAGTTGAAGAGCACTGAGGACCAAAAATTCCTAAAAGTTTGGCCGAATGCGGCTAAGGTAGTCTATTCCTGAGGTAGACAAGCCTTGGTATTTCAAAAGTTCAAAGTTTTGTAAACAGTTAACTTATAATTATGACCATATCAATGATAATTCATGTCAACACAGAAGTGCTGGCTACTGGGCTGGTGATACCCTCGGCGAATAAAAACTCCACCCGTAGTGGCATCGACCCAGTGGTTGTAAATAAACTCATCATAGTTACCAGGATTGAAATTTTGTATTTACGCCAGACGCGCGTTTCGTCTTTAAAAGACTCAGATATACTAAGATAGTTTTAAGTACAAATTAGTTATGTAAGGAAATATTTCATAAGAATTATATATTTCGGGCAATTGGTCACCTAATATAATTATGAATATAAATCGTGTCTTATCAAGAATGGTCAGACGTTTCATCGAATATTCTGGTTAAGGTGACCACGTTAATACACATGTCAAGCATGTGCGACTTAATTTTATAAATTGGTAATATAAAGAGTCAGGCCTACCACCTTTATCTTCACACCAGGACTAAACAGTTGATACTTTAAACTGACTAAAATGTTGAAGTATTTTGGTCTACTGTTAGTAGTAGGCAGCGTCTGGTGTGGTAATCTTGTTGAGGTGTTACAAGCTGATGGAGAGAGTAAACTCATTAAATATGTCACAGCTGCTGGACTGGCCGATGCTATACTTGCAGGTATGTATTGTTTGTCGTAGGTAGTGTCTGGTGTGGTAATCTTGTTGAAGTGTTACAAGCTGGCGGAGAAAGTAAACTCATTAAATATGTCACTGCTGCTGGACTGGCAGATGCTATACTTGCAGGTATTCGCTACATTTTGTTTTCATGCAAATAATGGTTTTCGGGTATCTGAATTGCTTAGCAATGATGTTTCCTAATAATTTATAATTTATTGATTATAACAAAACAAATATATTTGCAAAAACCGACTTGTGAGACTGTGTTTTGGTAAAGTTGGACACTTTTGGCAGAAAACCGTTTTACATTAATAATATCACATCGTTGGAATTATTACAGCGGACACATGTAACTAAATGTCTATTTCAATTGCAGAATAATGGTGTTCTTTCTTTATGATGTTATCAAGGTTGACTTTTTAGTGACGTAAAATGATTGAAACCAGAGAAAATGAAGAAAATTTGATGTCAAAATTGCGTTCAAATAAACATTGCGGCTTTCTTAATAGAAGTAATCATCCGTTAGAGGAAATTAAAAATCAGCTAGGAAAGAAATACGTATAGCATAATGCTTTTTTATTAGAGACAATTCGAATTGTCTTTCCTTGACCAGGAAAAAACATTACGTCAGGTCAAGTAGGTAAATAAGAAATCACTCTATATAAGACCATTCTTAACAAGATACTTAACAAACATTAACTATGTAAGGCAATTATTCAGATATCAAGCTAATCAGATATATAATAAATCATGCATTTGTAATGGAATACGTGAAAAAAAATTAATATTCCACAATCGACCATTTTAACATAGATTTCAAATTACTTAGTACTTATATGTATAAAAAAAGAAGATGTGGTATGATTGTGGTTAAAATAGCATCAAAATGAAATTATAAGAATTAAATGCTTCTTTTTATAATTTAAAGCCCACCGTGCGGCCTTCAACAATGAGCAAAGCCCATACCGCAAAGTCAGCTATAAAAGGCCCCGAAATGACAAATGTAAAACAATTCAAACGAGAAAACTAACGGCATTATTTATGTACACAATAATGAACGAAAAACAAATATGTAACACAGCAACAAACGACAACCACTGAATTACATGTAACTGCTCTTGTTGTGCGCGAAAGGTAATATTCAAGTCATTAAAGACGTCACCGGTCATTTTGATGTCCACTTCGCGTTTCACACCAAGCAAAATCGATTTTTATGAACAACAACGACAACGACTTTGAATTATAAGTAATATCTAATTTTGAAAATGTAACTCTACAATGAAATCAATATAACATACGTACAATGTCGGAAAATTTAGAATTCACATGTATTTCCCGACAATTATTCTGCTGTTGTCTGTTCTATGAGGGTTGTTGTCTCTTCGACACATTCCCCATTTCCATTCTCAATTTTATTAATGTTATTTCATTACATATACTTTGCCGTTGCCTTCTTTCTGACACAAAAAAACTAAATATATTGGATATTATCAGTACTGGTATTCATATAAATATTATAGTGCGACCTATTGATATTTTCCGGGTCTTTTAGACACATACTGTCATTGCCTTTTTTACAATTAATGTTTGCCAGGAACATACACAATCTTTGCCCCAACTGATGCTGCATTTGATGCCATTGGAACTGAAGCAGAACTTCTTAAGGACACAACAGCTTTAGGAAATATTCTAAAGTACCATGTAGTGAAAGGTACAATACCAAGCTCAGCAGCTAAAAACGAACTTCAGCTAGAAACACTTGCGGGAACAAAAATAAGATTCAACGTTTACTCACATAATCATGTAGGTATATCATTATAGTAGATATCAATAAATTAGTTTGTTTGTTTTACTTTTTGCTTGTTGTACCACCATTTTATTTTCGCTTTCGTTTTCAAGATTATGAATAAATATCATATTGACTTTTCATTGTAAAATGTAATTTGTAATCTCTAATTTATTGATAGAAAAATAAGGAGATGCTGTGTGATTGCGAATGAGACAGGTTTCCAATAGAGACCAAATGACGAGGATGTAAACATTTACTAAATTTTATCATCGGTATAAGGACATCATTCGTAAATATAACTCAACATGCAGACATCTTATACGTTCGGGTATTTCACATCCAATCTTTTATGGTAATATTCTTTACAAAGCACAAAAATGTCAGTATTCACCTCAGAAGCTAACAAAACCTTTAAACAGACTTATTAAGAAGGGATATAGTTACGATACTGTTGTCAGGTCATTAAAGGTTGCATATTTTGGCTTTAATATTGATTCACTTATAGGGTCTTTGCATCGGAATTTAACACATTTATTCTAAAACCAGTTGTTTGCATGACACGGGTTATGTTCTTCTCATATATTTTATGACGGTATAATACTAAACCGCTAACAGGAGGGATTGTGCCTGATATTTATATAATGAAGACATAATCTTTCAATCAGTTTAATTGAGGTCTGGAGCTGGCATGTCACTCAGTAACTGCTAGTAGTCTGTTGTTATTTATGTATTATTGTCATTTTGTTTATTTTCTTTTGTTTCCTATTCTGACATCGGACTCGGACTTCTCTTAAACTGAGTTTTACTGTGCGTACTGTTGTGCGTTTGTTTTTTTCTACATTGGCTAGAGGTATAGGGGGAGGATTGAGATCTCAAAAAACATGTTTAACCCGCCGCATTTTTGCGCCTGTCCCAAGTCAGGAGCCTCTGGCCTTGTTAGTCTTGTATCATTTTTAGTTTTAGTTTCTTGTGTATAATTTGGAGTTTAGTATGACGTCCATTATTACTGAACTAGTATACATATTTGTTTAGGGGCCAGCTGAAGGACGCCTCTGGGTGCGGGAGTTTCTCGCTGCATTGAAGACCCATTGGTGGCCTTCGGCTGTTGTCTGCTCTATGGTCGGGTTGTTGTCTCTTTGACACATTCCCCATTTCCATTCTCAATTTTATTTACAGGTCTTCAACAATGAGTAAAACCCTTCCTGTGTAGAAAGCTATAAAAAATCTAGAAACTTACACAATTTGAAACTATTCAAAAGTGAAAACTCTCATTTATGCTAAAGTAAATAGAAGAATTATGTACAGAAACAAGTGTGGCAAACAGAAACCAACAACCATTAAAGCGTTGTACATGCATACACAGAATGTGACAGATTAAACATGTTGGTGAGCGCTCAATCCTCCTCTTAACTTTAGATAGTGATGTAACATCACAACATAAGAAAAAATGTAAAAATTTGTTAGAAAGGGCTTTACTTATCAGATCGGTACTAATTACAAAACAACTAACAGAAAGATAAAAGGCAAAAGTACAAACTAACTAGCATAAAGGCAAAAGGTACAAAGTACAAACCAACTAGCAGAAAGATAAAAGGCACAAGGTACCGATCTAAGAGTACTTACAGCTATTGAAACTTGTTCAAAGCCCAATTGTAACTACTAAATAAACAATGTTTCCCAAACTTAAATGTCATTCAATAAACCTCCAACAAATTTAGTGTATAGACGACATTATCAATCACAGAAAAGAAATGCTTTGTGCAATGCCACAATTGCACATAATTATAAAAAAAAGACACATTTTTCTGTGTAACTGCAATTGTTATTATCAATCTGTTTCTACAATGCATGTATAATAATTCTTATCTTCTGATATGATATTCTTTAGGCCGTCACAGTTGAGGGTTCAAAAATTACAAAATTTGACCTATCTGCATCCAATGGAGTAGTTCATGTCATCAACAAGGTTATGATGCCCCCAACTGGAAACATAGTAGATTTGGTTGTCGGAAACAACGATCTCAGTACATTGTTGACTCAGGTTCAAAATGCTGGTCTCGCTGATGCACTGAAAGGTAAATCTTTGAACTATATATAGAGTTGAAACGTGACCCTTTTCATCTAAAGTAAAAGTAACATACTAGTAAAAATAAAAGAAATAATACACAAGTTTGAAGTCCAATTTTTCGAAATATATAACAAATAGGAAAAACTGTTAGTTATTAAATGAGGAATTTTCAAAAATCTAAATGAAATTAGGAGAATTGAATGCTTCTTTCTACAATATCTTTGGGGTTTACGCAAAAGCGATTCATATTAAAAATGTGCACACGATCAACGCTTTTACAACCCTATAAAATTATAAAAAGAAGCATTCAATTCTTATAATTTCATTTTAATGCTATTTAACCATAAAATTAAGAGTTACATCAAGTTTTTCGTTTGTGTTTCGATGCAGTCACAGCTGTTGTATTTTATATGGAAATGAAATATGATATTGAGGTTCCTCGTGATTGGTGTCAGCCAACTAAAATTACGGATAAAAATGATACAGACATGTAACGTAATTTTTTATATGTAAAGCCAATGCATATGATTCAGAAAATCATACGCAGTTTTATAGTTAAAAAAACCGTGTTCTTTAACACAGGTCAAGTTTATTTTGCGGAAAATGCTGACAAAAATAGGCACTCAATTTCGAAGTTGAGAATTCAGTATTGAGTATTAAGTATTTAAATATCTGCGAAGGTATTCAACATTTTAATCAAAAAATGTCTATATTTCAAGTGTTATGTTGTATTATCGGGTTTTGAAATTTTGGTTGAAAAAATGATTTTTGAAATCAATAAAATTACAATAAAAAATGTCACGTTATTGTTTTAAATCAATGGTTTTGATAAGAAGAAAAAAAAAAACACTATTATGTAAAACTAGACAAATTGGGTAACTGGAACCGTGTATCCAATATCATTATATTGGAAATTGCATTGCCTTGTGTCGTTTCGATTGTTAAACTAGTATATATCCAATATCTCAGTTCTACCTTCTCCCTCATCAGTTAAGATATCTTTTAGAAAGAAATATTTCTTTTCTCATACTGTTTACGTAAAAAATAAAAAATATGGATAAGTGCGAACTAAGAGAGGTGTCCTTCTAATCATGCTTTGTTTTCTTTGCAGGTGATGCACTGACAGTATTCGCGCCAACGAATGCTGCCTTTGCTAGTCTTGGTCCATCAATTCTTGCGAAGTTAGCATCAAATAAAGATCTTCTTACAGGTATATATTTATTTAACATCGACATATATAGTCTGTTGGTAGCGTGCTCGCCTCGAGTGCGAGAGGTCGTTGGTTCGATCCTCGGCTGGGTCAAACCAAATAAATTGAACATTGGTATTTGCTGCTTCTCCAATAAGTACTCATTAGTAAGACCAAACAACTGGTCGGTTTGGAATCAGAATTATGTGTTCGGGAAAGGTGACATGTCTTCTTGCGGACTACAACCTTGCACACTAGTACGTTAAAAATCGACGTATCGGTCTAGTACAAAGCAGTTAATTTTTCTATGTTATATTAACACGATCTCGCACTGATATGCATGTAATATTTGCTACTGGACGTTAAACACCAATCGATCATCATGTTAGGAAACGTTTAGTGAAGTAACAATATAACAACACATTTAAAGGAAGTAATTTTAGGTGTGTTTTTTTAATGATATTTGTTTCAAAGTATCCATTGCTTAGTAATTCGATGACAATATATATGAATGAAACGAAATCATTTACAGATCCCTTATTTTACTGTCTTTATTATTTTCGAATACTTGTATCATTATCTCAGTCAACATATGTAAGATTAAAAGATGTGTAGACGAATCGTGCATCTGGTGTACAACATCTTAAGCCCGGTGTATTTAATGATTTAAAAAACATTATGTTATAGTAAGTAATAGTTTGTACTATACTTTAATAGAAATACTAGAGTACCATGTAGTACCTCATACAGAATACTCAGCAGGTCTGTACAACAGAGAATCTTTACAAACAATTGATAGACACCATGACCGTATCCGAATTCACACTCGAAGTGGTAAGAATATTAACATAACAAATATTTGTTTAAAAGAGAACATGCAACATTCTATATGTGTCTGTCCCAAGTCAGATGTCTGTAGTTCAGTGGTTGTCGTTGGTTCATGTCTGTCATATTTGATTTTGTAAATTGTTTTGTTATAAATTAGGTCAAATGAATTGTTTCATAGCAGACTATGCGGTATGGGGTTTTCTCATTGTTGAAGGCCGTACGGTTGCCTAAAATTGCTTACATCCACGTCATTTAAACTTTGGTGGATAGTTGTCTCATTGGTAATCATACCACATCTCCTAATTTTATATGAATATTTTCAAATTAAAAGAAAATATAAGAAAACAAATGTCCTTTAATTTTTTTTTTAATATTTTTTAATGAAAAGTAATGATTAGTGCTTCGTCATTTGATATCCGGGTAACAATGGCAGAAATAATATCCTAATGCGGCAAAACCAATATTTAGACCCCAATTATGCAAAGATCAGAATCCGTATCAAAATAAGTATATAATGCGGCCAATAACAGTAAACGTACCAACAATACGACCTTAATGCATTAAAGAAATAGCTTACATTTTTCTGTCTCTCAAAATACGTTCTGTACGTTTTTATGGTTGATAGTAAGATACATCTTTTAAAATCTTATTTTCATTATTTACATTCAAATAATTTAAATGACTCTTATGTACATTTATAACAGTGATAATCAGATAATAAGAAGCGTTTTATGGTCCTTTCCATACGAAGAAACTCAGCAGATTCCTTAAATATGCGTAGTTATAATATACTACAAGAAAGAGACAAATTAGTACACCGATGTTCATAGCTTGGTTTTTTTATATACAAAAATAAACCCATTAGGAACTTCAAAACGCAACGAGACCGGGCGAGTCGACAAGGTATCTTCCTATTACAAGAAATAAATGAGAGTGTTTCCATTTAATAAAATCAAAATAAATTTTACAATAGCATGACACAGTGCTATACTGATTTTATTTGAATTATCAAAAGTTCATTTATAAATAGAAAAACATATTTGTGAGCAGCGCTAAACCCATCTCCTAACCCGAGACAATCATACATGTCCCGCAGATCGATTGTAAAATAGTAGCAAAGACCAGAACAGATACTAATAACCACTTAGAAACAAACGAACAACAAATAATTGTACACTATTTTTTTTCTTCAGATGGAAGAGTCATTGTGAATTCATCAAAAGTGACAAAGGCCGACATTTCAGCAACAAATGGTGTCGTTCATGTTATAGACCATGTACTCATTCCATTCAGATATCGACTTCAATTTGGCTTTGGAAAGTAGAAAAACCAAAACTTCTTGATAATTTAAATATTTATGAATTATTGTTAAAAGTAATTGTAAATGTATTGTTCAGACTGGTTTCGCATGTAGAAACAACACATCTTTTATTGTGTTCATTGTTGTTGTTATGTTGGTTATATATAAATAGATATAAACTTATCGGATTTTTTTATTAAATGTGTAATGATTTCCTTTAAATCTATTCAAATAAGGAATAAGGGTATAGTATCTTACTTTTTAATCATCATCAATTGAAATTACTGTGACTTGACAGTTAGTGTTGCTCTCCACTTATTGCAATTTATTCAAAATTCTGACCAAATTGCAATTTGTTTTATAAAACCAATTGTTCAACTGGTCAGAAATTTGGAACAAACTGCTATATTGTTAGACTGAGTTTTCATAATATCATTAAAGTGGAATTAAAGTCTTATAGGATTGTAAATATGCTTTATTTTATCACCTTACACTTTCACGACTGTGTTCTACAGCAGTTTGTTCAAATTTCTGACCAGTTGAACAATTTGGTTTTATAAAACAAATTCAATTTGGTCAGAATTTTGAATAAGTTGCAATAGATGGAGAGCAACACTAACAGTCAATTTACTGTTACGCCTTATAAAATTTAAACCTCCGAAAGCGCTTTTCTGGACAAAATTCGAAAGGCAAAAATGTATAAATACTGAAATACGTGAATAGCTATATAGCTAGAATCAGCAAAGTTCCTTTCCCTAAGAATCAGTTTTTGAAACAACAGTACAAACACATAAGATCCGTTGCCTCACAATTAAATTCATAATAAAAACTTTCGAGGTACCTTTCAATCATAATTATTTTTTATGCGACAAATGCATTGATTGAATGATAGATTTTACTCGAAATTTTCTTTTCTTTGGGTTTCCTGTCATATAATTCGTAGACGCTTTCTTTGTCAACATATTTCGCACTTTACCATTCTCGATACATTGCATTGCCTACTAAATTGTACGAGGAAGAAATTTCAGATTTTGCAAATCTGACTCGGTTATATATAAAAGAAAGCAAAATTATAGTGTATTGTGTTTAAACTGGATATTCTACATGTCCCTGCTACAAAATTGGGTTGCAAAGAGAAATTAGATTTTAATATTCGGAAGAAAATACTCAAAAGATGGAAATAAAACAAACTCCAAAAACAATACAGATAAACAGCAAAACAACAGCACTGTATAACACCGTCTCTTACTCTTTTAGAGTAATTGAAGTGAAACATTTAAACGTTGGTTTTTTTTCAAAAATAACATCTTTCTGTTAAAATTATTCGCACTTTAATAGATTCGAGACGATTTAGAGTTTGACCTATTTCATAATTCATAGACGCATGTTTATTGTTGAAGACTGTGTGTTGCCATCTAGATGTCTTGTGCTTGTTTTTGTCGTTGGGTTGCTGTCTCGTTGTATCATTAAATCCCTCATTTTCTTTTAATCATTTTGATGCTTAAGTATTTATTTATATGTATATAGTAGTTAGGTTATACGCAGAACTTCAAAGAGTATTGACAATGCCTAATTCTATATAAAAAAAGTCAATATGCAGCATGAAACAGTTGTATATCTTAAGTTTGCTTTAAGATCAAATTGTTCATCTTTAATTGTCTAAAGCAAACACATTTACGATAAACTTTATTCAATAAAATCAGAATGCTGCTTCAATGAAATTACTACGAAGAAAGAATAAAATGGTCCTTAACTTTTTAGTTTTGTGTATCAAAGCATGGAGCCATTTGTATTGCACAAAATGTTTTAGCTGACTTAGAGCATGATGTATCAGAATAGTTCTGATCTGTAAATGTAACGGTTGTGTCCTATTCCCTATCGTCAAATTTAAACTGAGTTTTGGTGTGCATGACAGGTGATATGGAAGCAGAAGACACTTACACTGTCACCCTGTCGATGCACCCGAACTTGGTGGGAAGGTCAGTTCTGGAGAAGCGAGTTCATTGTGACAAGTATACTTCTTATGCAGATAATGAAGGTATATTGTTGTTACTCTTCGGAAAATTAATATCAACCATTGTCAATAGAGGTACTTGGCCAAAAAGATAGATTTGAAAGACCAAATTAAAACGTTTGATTTAGTAATATGCGATTCATAACATTTAAGGGGCAAATCTGTAAAAAGTCAAATAAAACACGGTTATTTGTCGTCGAAACTCAAATCACTTAATGGTACACTGCATCTTAAAAAAGAACATTACTAGTACGAAGGAAAACACTGGTGACTCTGATGATTTCATTTCAATTCCTTCTGTTGTATTTTTGTTAGTTATAATACTAAGAGAAAATCCAACGAATGGAACCACAATTTCGTACTTTTTTTCATCACCGAATTAGACTTATCGCCGAATTTCTATAAAACGAGCAACATGAAGGGTGCCACATGAGGAGCAGGATCTGCTTGCCTTTTCGAAGCACCTGGGATAACCCTCGGTTTTTGATGGTTTAGTGTTCTCAGTCGTCAGTTTTCTGTTTTGTTTGTTGCACTGTTGTTTGTGTTTTGGACGTTTTTCAATTTTTGGCAGTGCGTTGTCAGTTTGTTTTCGACTTATGAGTTAGTATATCCCTTTAGTATCTTCCTTCCCTTCGTGACAATTCACATTTGTAGATAAAAATACACAGGACACAAATAGAAACACACCCTATTACGGTAGATACAATATGATCTGTGTTCCCGATTGTCATTCAAAACAATTGTTTTTTGCTCTCGTGTACAACATATTGCTGTCTGCCGCTCTGATTGCTAAAAGCCTATTGCAGTAGAATGGATAGTGTAATCCTGTTGCATTTGCAATACCGAATAGCCGGTAATAGTTTGTGATAAATACAATTAAGTTTTTAGTGTATTGTAGGTGGCAAATTCAGTGTCGGAATCGTGTGATATTCACTAGCAGTTTTAAAATTTGGCGTCGAGGAGGCGTGTTCTTGTACGATGCTACTTATGCACAAAAAACGAGAATGATAATAATAGAGCTTAGTACCCAACTCTCGAGAACGCACAATAATGGTGACATCTTTGCATTTTTCAGATACTTTCAAACAAATCCTATCGTTTTATCATATGGCATTGCTAAAGCTATACATTTAGTATACACATATTAAAATTTTGAAAATTGAACGAACAATTAATTTTGAAGTTTTAGTGGATTTATTCACTGAAATTTGCTTAATGTGTCCATTGATATGAGTATTTTAACGTTTATGGCGGGTATAGACAGGTAAACAGGTAACATATAATGTTATTCTCTGTAGTTTCTTTAAAAAACTTGCTAATGTAGACAAACAAGTATATCGCAGAACATATACAGAATTTGGACCGCCTCGAGTGCGGGAGGTTGTTGGTTCGATCTCCGGCCGGATCGAACCAAAGACTTGAAAATTTGTATTTGCTGCTTCTCCGTCAGGCCGTAGAAATAAGAGCAGAGAATGGTCGGCTCGGAGACTGTAATATTGTAAAATAGCGTGTTATAAATCCGAACCAGCCTTACGGTCTAGTACAAAGCAGGGTTCAAAATATCCATATATCATAAACTAACATGTGCTTGTCCTGAAACGAATGAAATATTTGCCACTGGATGTTAATTAGCTCCTCGTTATACAATTGTTTGGCCTCTTTTTCCTTATTCTATTTGATGACAAATAGTAATATTGAAACAACGAAACACATAACTAGACTTTATAGACACTTACGACTTTTAATTTTAGTTTCTCAAAATTTCCTTTAAATTATGAATGAGTGTAAATTATTTTCAAATGCATCCATTACACATACACGGATTATTATTGTATTTCTAAATGTTTAAAATAGATGTACTAACGAAACATTATTTTTTTTCGGCACATACTTTTGTAAATAAAGTAAGCAGCGTAAAAAAATCTCCCGATTTGAATTGTTTTCCCTTCATTTTCATACATGCCATTGCAGTGACGTAGCATCAGTGTAGCATTGTAAGCATGTGCTTACAAATGATTTTATAAAACATTTTTATTTTCAATAAGAATTTTACTATAATCGTTCAGCTTATGGGGGGCTACCGCCCCCAGACCCTCTGCTTACAATTTGTTTTACAGTTGATACGTCACTGCATTGGAATCACGCAGACTTAGTGACAATCATTTACGCTGATTTATATATAATCTATTTCGTTCTTCTTTCATGAGAATATTACATTCATAAACATGTATATTTTTGAGATATATACAACAACCCATCCGAGTCCAAATAACGTAGACGAAAGCAACTAGGTCATTATGCCGCCCTCAATATATGCCTATTAGAATCACTTGTACTGTTCGATGTGTTTTGTTTTCTGATCTCATTTACTTACTTGGTGTTCTGTTTTGTACATCGCCGCGTTTATTATGCAATTAGAACGGGCGATATAGCTGATGGAACCAAGGCGCGTTTCTTGAGAAATGGACAGGCATGTACCTCAATCCCTTCCATAAAACACACAATCACACACAATGAAAAATTATCCGTAATAAGGGACATGATAAACATTTATTTGAACAAAGTTAACGCATAATAGCGATACTAATGCTGGCATCGAAATTCAAAAGTCAAATAAAAACAGAAAACACCATGACCAAAAATAAAAACAGAAAACACCATGACCAAAAATAAAAACAGAAAACACCATGACCAAAAATAAAAACAGAAAACACCATAACCAAAAATAAAAACAGAAAACACCATGACCAAAAATAAAAACGACGAAAAGACAAACAACAACAAAACATTACAAAAATGATCAATTGATCAAAAACCTGGAATGAACTCCGGTGCTCCGGAAGGGTAAGCAGAATTAAAAAAAATTTCCTGTCAACTCAAATTTATGGATAAGTTGACTAGTTGGTAGGTGGATGTTTTTAACATGATCATATTACATACATACTCGGGCAATGATATTTCAATGTCGCATGAAAATATAACGCTTTGTACTAAAACGGAAAGTTATATTTGCATTATTTCAGCTGATAAGGTTACAGACTACAGATTATTCTTGACATGTTAACCTTCTCGGACATAATATTCAGACTCCGCGATTCCGAACACACTTGTGTTTGCTCTTACTGTCTCTTGCACTGCTTGATACAGAAGCAGCAAAAACAATAGATACGCCAGCTAACCCGAAAGAAGTTGTAAATATTTTTTTATGCCCCACCTAGGGGCATTATGTTTTTCGGTCTGTGCTTCCGTTCGTTTGTCCGTCCGTCCGTCCGTCTGTCCCGCTTCAGGTTAAAGTTTTTGGTCAAGGTAGTTTTTGATGAAGTTGAAGTCCAATCAACTTGAAACTTAATACACATGTTCCCTATGATATGATCTTTCTAATTTTAATGCAAAATTAGAGTTTTGACCCCAATTTCACGATCCACTGAACATAGAAAATGATAGTGCGAGTGGGGCATCCGTGTACTATAGACACATTCGTGTTTTAAGTTTGTTATCGGACAAAAAATATATATATACACTTGTTTCTTGCCTCCTGACAGAAAAAGAAAAACGGAATCGAAGTTGTTTAAGTTTATTATTTTATTCTTGTTATATTATACCTAGACTATATAGGAAAATGTTCTTGGCTTTACAGATACTTAACCAAAATGTGTTCGGGTGCATGAAAATTTAGGGCAAATATGGACGTAGGAAAAACGAAAACAATGTTTTTGTGACGCCTCACTTATTCATTGAATCATTAGTTTTCTATACTCAACAGGGGTGGATCTAGGATTTTTGAAAGGGGGCGTAATGCCCAATATTTGAATATATACTGCCGAGTGGAGCAAGGCGAGCATTTTTTGACGATTTTATGCTAAAAATTTATATATATCGTGAAAAAACATGAGATTTCTTTTAATTCTTGGCGATGAAAGGGAGAGTACGCCCTCTACCCCTCCCCCGAGATCCGCCGCTGCTCAAAGCGATTTAGAGCTTTTCATATGAAACGTACGATTGTTTTTCGTTTAACAATACTGCATATCATACATCTATCATAACTATATGGAAATAATAATTCTTTATTCAACTTAACCTGTTGTAAAAACCATGGACAATGAAAATTATCCTCCATCAATGGAAAAGTGGATAAAGTTATCAGCAGGCATGATGATTTTCTGTGATGGTCAGAATCGAATAAATAATATGTTTACTCTTGAATGCGTTTAAATCCTAGTTTATTAATCATCCTCGTCATTATCATTATCATGATCATTATCATGATCTTCCACTTCGATCATATCCTCGCCTTTTTTGGCGTTATTGATTTTGTTATTCACCGGTAACACGTGTACCGTCCGTGAAAATCTTGGACTTCTGTAACTAGGGCTTAATTCATTTAACCCATCCGTTTCTATATCAATTCTCGCTAAAGAATCTGCTAGTCCTTGAAATCTCGGATCTTCCGATGCTCTGTTATAAAACGAATGCATTGGTACAAATTCAGAAAATATTCCATCATTATCAATTGTATGAAAAATTTGCGTTTGTCCATTAGCCTCTTTCAGTTTAAAAATAACGTGTTTGCCATTTGTTTGTAGTTCTGGAAGTTTTAGCACCTCTAGATCAGATACAGAAAACGCACTTTTAGTTCTTGGATTATTATTAAAAGAATGTTGTTGTACGTTAGGAGATTTATATGAATATTCACTAGACAGTCTACTTAGTATCCTGTTTTCTTTTGTATTATGCTGAATGTCTGGTAATGATATATTATTATCTGCCATGTGCTGCTGACGTTTTTTCTGCCTCCACAGAAAAGAACGCTTGTGTAAGTCTAGTATTCTTCGTACACGGTTTTGTTCTAGTTTTATGTGCGAAAGTTTAACATCCAGTTGTTGTTGTTGGGTCGCGTTGTCATACAAGAGCACCCTGGAGATGTTCGATTTTGGCAGAGTGCTGCGTTTTTTCTTCCCATAATTAGGCATGATTCTTGGTGGATTATGCATGTACGACAAGGCTGACGATTCTTTTCCATTTTGTTGCAGATCGGCTTCATTCACTTTTGCTTGCTGCGATGTCATTTTGCTTGACTATGAATTGTTATCCTTGTTTTCTGCAAAAAAATAATAAAGATGATAAAAAAGCAAACCAATCTTCATGTTATAACTGTTAAAAAAGTTACCAATACCAGGACTTTTAAAGAAGAAACAACAATGTTGTAATACCCTCATCGTATATTTTCGCCGACATAAATCTAATCTTTTTTTTTTAATTTCAGTAATTATGTAAAAGTACATAACCTTTGACTAACTTACTATTCTATGTTGAATAGCTTATCAATGAGGCAAGTATGTGGCCTTCCACCCCATCTTAAAAATGTCAGTGAGATTTGAATTAATAAGGGTGTTATCTAAAAGTCGAATAATAATTTGTGCATTTTGAATTACATGGTCTTTCAATATTCGATCTATATGAGGAACAAGTGGGCGTACATTTGATCCATGTTGTATGTATTTAAACGAAATTAAATGTGTTTTAAACTCAAACCAAGTTATGTCGAATAAATATTCAATAATTAATAAGGTTGTATAATAATACACCTTTGTGCTGCTTTAACAATAGGTTTCCATACAAATATAAATTGTAAGTTAAGAGTAATTAAAAAAGAATATCTTCTTGAGATCGTGTGTTTGAATGGAAGTGTATTTAAATATGTGTATCCAAGGACGATTTTAATATCCCTATTATTTGCCATCTTATCTTTTTTTACATTAAAAAGTATGAAATACTTAAACTTGAAAAGTGAGAAAAACAGTTTACTTTCTTTATAACGTTGTCAAAAATGATATAATGTACATAGATCTGACCACGATAAGTACAAATCAAGAACACTTCAACCAGATTTTATGGTTAACCGACGGTAAACCATCTTGATATTTACACATTTTATTTCTTTCGCATCTATTACTAGCTACGGAACCGTAGCTCTTATGGTCCTTATGAAATTTTGACAATTTGAGGTCCAAAAATTGTCAAAAAATATCATGAGGGCGATAAGATCTAGGGTTTCGCATCTAATCTGTTACTATATTAACTTGTTTAACATGATCATAATAACGTTTCAAATGTATTCACGTAGAAATCTAAATCAACCGTGACAGAGAAATACAATTTGTTTCATATACATACATGTATATGTTAGAGAACAAAACTATCTACATCTATTCCATTGTTTGCTATCTTAAAATTATTAGAAACTAAGGTTCCAACTCCCTCAGGCAAAGTTGACCGTAGATAGGTTTTTTTAGGTGCTTTTAGGTTATATAGCTCTTCAACTGTTTCAGTTCTTATACATCCTTGGCTTTAAAATATTCGGCTTTGAGCGTTCCTGATGACGGGTAAATCCAGAAAAGCGCTCCGGACACATGCAATTTATAACGTGTTGTTTTCATTTTTTGTATGCAAGATATTTTATCCAATTCTATCTTTTAGCTGAAAGTTTGGTTATAATGGATATATACTAGACAGAGGTATATAATTATGTAGTAATCTTTGCATAATGGGACACAATCCAAAATTTTGGCGGGACGAGCTCACAAAGCCTTACTGTAGCTCGTATTCAATCACCCAAAACAATTACTCTTCTTATTAAAAAGAGAATAATCATATAAGAATACTTAGAGTTGAAACCCAAATAATTGTATTTGTTATGTTTAAACAATATCAATTTCTGATATGAATTATATGTCTTTTTTAGTCTCAAGATTAATGGACATTATCGAAAATGAAAAATGAATACAATTTAATAACTCCAACAACTTAAATGAAAATGTTGTAAGAGTCAAATTACTGGTCGATTTAATAACAAATTCTGAAATATTATATGTACATACAAGTTAGAATTGATACCTGTCCTGGTGTTTTTTTTTTTTAATTACACAATATTTCCCATGAAGTAACGCATATAACGTATATTATCTGGTCACTCACATATTCATGGTTTTCCTTCATAAAAGTTGTAAGGAAAGTACGCATTGACATTATAATTCTAATCCACTGTTTCTTTTTTACAGTTTCAATCAATAACATTTACAAATGTACCCGTCACATTTATAACATAGAAATTATAGTAAATGTTTATCTTGTCCTACCTGTAATCTAGGTTGCTATCTAAACTACATCATTTATTTTCTCATATTTATCCAAAAAGACAGTCGTATGTTTGTATATCAAATCCTTCTTCAGAAATATCTAATAAAAAAGTATGTACTGCGATTATACTAACCAGGCAGGAGATCTGCAATTAAAATGTATTGAAGGTGTCGTTCAATTACTTTCCTATTTATGAGAGATTTAAATTATGTGTTCCGTGAATTAAATCGTCATATGAACTTTGTTGCTCTCAGTGTCACTTCATTGCAATATAACTAAGTTGTTTTACTTTTCTGTTTTCGAATGCAAAATAAGAAATATATCTGTATTCATGCTATGAGGTACACCTCAATTCAAAACTGTTACACTTTATGATTTCAAATTAAAAAACATGATTGTAAAGTAATATACTAGTATACAGTATTTTGCCTCGGATGCCAGTCCTCTTTAAGTTAAATTGACAGTTGCAAAAATCGCTGTTCTGACTATAATTGGTTAAAATAGAAATAATGCCAAGTTGTTCATATTTAATACTAACTGGAACTAATATATGCATGAATTTGTTGATCACAGAAATAAAATAATCTAATTGGCTTATTTTTCAATATATCAGTTAACACATTTTACTTAATAATATAAATGTCTTAATCATCTATCAGTGAGGTTCGATGTCTTATGTCAAATTTGTATACCCGATAACTATGGTAATTGTCATTTTGTAACGACCATTGAAATGATACTTGGATGTGTGAACATATTATTGGCAATTACCAGATTGAGAACAATCGCTTAAATTAAGTATGATACTACATGTAGTAGTTCGTTTAGATTATAATATGTAAAATGAGACATGATATTAATGTGTGCAAAGTGCCAAATTTTTTTGGGGATGTAAAATACAATCAATTAATATTATAAAGGATGTACACCTCTGAGGAGCCAAAAATTTCTACAATTAAACTTTTTTACTTAACCTGATTTTTGGGTTTTTATGACTGTAAAAAAATAATTGGAGAAGAAAAAATCATATGGTGGTGCACTTCTTTTTTTGCTACAGCCCTTTGAAAGTACCCAATTTTGATGATTTTCCCATTTTTCATCAGTTTTTGCCCATTTTTGGGCTATTATTGTGAAAAAAATCACAGTTCTACAATTAAACTTTTGTTCATACTTTCAATAAAGATGAAGTGGACCAATCTGAATAAATTTAACTTAAAAAACTATAGGTAGGTGTTAATATAAAAACGTTTTATCATATTTTGATGCTTTTTCGTGTCAAATTTACCATGCTGTCAATTTTGTAAATTTAATATTATAATAATATGATTTTTCTCTGTTTTAAGAACAAACTGCATATTATTTCAACTTCTTTGTTATGAATGATTGAAAAAATACATGTCTCAGAAATTTGAATAGAAAAAAATGATATGGGATGTACATGTTTCTGGTAAAATCATTTATTGTACCCCACACCCATTTTCTCAAAAATATGGCTAAAAAGACTGACTTGATTGGTAATAAAATTTTGAAAAATTTATTACTCAAAAACTACTTATTGTAAATACACATTTTTTTCACAGAGTTCAGTTTGATTATGATATTTATTAAATTCATTGCTATTTTCCACTAGTATCACATGTTTTGGAAATAATTCCAGAACGAGATTTCAACGAGACTGAAACGTCAGGAGAATACATCCTTAATGTGTTGAAGTTGTAGTTAGTTATTTGTTAAATTGTTTACTTGAAAAATTCAAAACTTAGACTTTCAGAGGGATTGACCTCTAAAATTAAGTTTCTGGAAAAAATTTCTAACCAAAAGTTGTTACTTTGATATTAACAAATTCATTTTTTATATATTTCCACCCAAATCCAAACTTAATGTTTTTCCAATACATTGTAAATGTAAATCCCATTTGGGATATTATAGTCCATACCGATTTTTATATCTCGGAAGTCCCGACTAAGCTAGAGCATAGAAGAGTATTTAATAGATTCCGTCACTATACGATATATGAAAACACCACACATTTCAAAAGAAAAACACAATCAAAATACGTGTATCTGAAAATAGACACAAAAAAGAAGACTCCAGCACTGAAATTAACCCTGTGAAAACTTTGTAATGATATAAAATACCGTAAAAAAGTATCATATATCGTCATTATGTCACACTGTATCCATCAGAAGTCGAATTAAATATCACATCAGCGATTATAGTACCTTTATCAAACAAAAAAAAACACAAAAAAAGTATGAACCTCTCATTAAAAACATACTGACATTGGTTTTATATGTCATGATGGTAAACGTGGGACAAATGCAATCGTCGTGTTGCCACGTGCTCAAATTCAAATAACAAAATATCTATAGACCCATTTGATCAAATTCATAATTTAAGAAATGCAAGCAAATATAAATATAGTCACTTGTGAAGATCAAGACTACTTTTTTATTTGAATTATGTTGAAAGGATTATCTTCTAGCCATTCTTCACTGCACTTAGGAAAAAGATATTTGTTATTTATTTATACAAATCTAACACCTGTATTTTCATCACAACTTTTTCATTCCGAATATACTTAACAAGGTTTTGTATAGTAATTCAGACATAGCATTTAAGTTACTAGTAGTTATATCATGCCTTTCTTTATTTTTTTTTCAATTTAGTCTAAAAAGAAATTAACACATCAATACAAATATGTCAATTCATCGATCTTTGAAAGTTTGATAAATAAAAATTTATTCATACACATCATGCTCCGTGGATACATCTGTTGCTTTATATTATAAATTCCAAATGGAAGAAACATTCTGGAATATTGTTTCCATTGGAAGAAATATATTAAAGTATTAGTTCCTGCCAGAATAAAGGGGGTATACTAGTTGTTCAATAACGAACAGATATTATAGCACTGTTTACATCAGAAGTTTCTAGAGGGAGAGCATTTAGGAGGAACAA